TAACGGAGTCTCTTTCGGACTCTTCGGCTACTCCATAAATCCGTAGATTATCGCGTCTGCTGTGACTCTCCATTTCCGTTAGCTTCTCATCTAGCCTCACGTGTAGCTTTAGCATCTCCAGTGTTGCTTCCTCTGAGGCTTGTATCCGCTCTTCGGCCTTTTCGATCCGATCCTCGGCCTCTCCCAGCCTGTTATGGAGACCCGATAAGTCACTTCTTAGGTCGTCAAATTGCTGTCTGTTTTCCTGGCGAAATAGCTTCAGTTCTTGCAAAATCTCTGCGTTCGCCATCTTTTGCTAAATGCTATTGGGTGCAAGCTAGCCTTGACCGTCGAGGATAAAACTATATTTCACTGCTCAAGACGCCTCAGGAACAAATTAAATGTTTACGGTAGTGTCTTGCCCCGTCTTGTTAAGTTAAGCTCTTACAATATCTTCAATGTAAAGGGGGCTTTTGGTCCAATTTCACGGGTTCTATCGGGAGCCCGTCATAGCTGATGGTCCAACAGGAAGTCGACTTGGCCATTCTAACACCTGGATACGTCTATTTGTGAACCATTCCATTGTAGATATGGCTTTATGTTTTGGATCATTGTCCTGTTGGAAGATAAATCTGCGTCCCAGTCTCAGGTCTTTTGCAGACTCCAACAGGTTTTTTTCCAGAATGGTCCTGTATTTGGCTCCATCCATCTTCCAATCAATTCTAGCCATCTTCCCTGTCCCTGCTGAAGAAAAGCAGGCCCAAACCATGATGCTGCCACCACCATGTTTGACAGTGGGGATGGTGTGTTCAGGGTGATGAGCTGTGTTGCTTTTACGCCAAACATATCGTTTTGCATTGTGGCCAAAAAGTTCGATTTTGGTTTCATCAGACCAGAGCACCTTCTTCCACATGTTTGGTGTGTCTCCCAGGTGGCTTGTGGCAAACTTTAAACAAGACTTTTTATGGATATCTTTGAGAAATGGCTTTCTTCTTGCCACTCTTCCATAAAGGCCAGATTTGTGCAGTGCACGACTGATTGTTGTCCTATAGACAGACTCTCCCACCTCAGCTGTAGTTATCTGCAGTTCATCCAGAGTGATCATGGGCCTCTTGGCTGCATCTTTGATCAGTCTTCTCCTTGTTTGAGATGAAAGTTTGGAGGGACGGCCGGGTCTTGGTAGATTTGCAGTGGTCTGATACTCCTTCCATTTCAATATAATTGCTTGCACAGTGCTCCTTGAGATGTTTAAAGCTTGGGAAATCTTTTTGTATCCAAATCCGGCTTTAAACTTCTCCACAACAGTATTTCGGACCTGCCTGGTGTGTTCCTTTGTCGTCATGGTTCTCTGAGTTTTAAACAGAACCCTGAGACTATCAACGAGCAGGTGCATTTATACGGAGACTTGATTACACACAGGTGCATTCTATTTATCATCATCAGTCATTTAGGACAACATTGGATCATTCAAAGATCCTCACTGAACTTCTGGACTGAGTTTGCTGCACTGAAAGTAAAGAGGCCGAATAATTTTGCACGCCCCACTTTTCAGTTTTTTGTTTGTTAAAAAAGTTTAAATTATCCAATACATTTTGTTCCACTTCACGATTGTGTCCCACTTGTTGTTGATTCATGACAAAAAATATTTTTTTTATATCTTTATGAACTTTGCAGTTGTTTTATTTCAGCTATGAAAATGGCACTTGGTTATGGTTATTCTATAGGTTAGAACTCACTATTTCTCAAATGTGTGGGAATTTTGTCTAATTAACTAATAATAATGCATCGCTTTTTTGGACACTCGAAGACGCTTCACATGTCATTATTCATTCACTCCATACACTGTGGTGATAAACTACTACTGTAGCCACAGCTGCCCTGGGGCACACTGACAGAAGTGAGGCAACCAGTATGTGCCATTGGCCCCTCCGACCACCACCTACCATTGCACCACCATAATTGCTTCATATATGGGATTTTTCAAATGTAATTCTCTTGAAGTTGGCGTTTACTATAAACAACATAATGCTGGTCAGAAATATTGCAATTATCCATTTCATTCAAAATTGTGCAGCTGCAATATAACTGCCCGATATGACCTTGTGGCTCAATAACGGCAACACAAAGATAGATGTTTCTGCCCCTGAGGACTTATTACTCAGCACAGGCTACGATTTTGTGCTGGAAGAAACAAAACAGATCATCCCAAGTGAGTCCAGCCTAAACGCGGTCTGTCTTTTGTGGCCAGTGGAGAGGAAGCTGAACCCAAACAGAGTTAAAAACATTTGCGCTAAGGTGCAATCACACTGACTGGTAAAGCATGTTTCAGTTTTTGCACCAAGAAGTCCAGGATTGGGAGATTTCTCACATTAGCACACACATCAGACACAAAGAAACTGCAAGAGCAATATTTCCATTCAATTACATTTCACACAAAAACTGTACGTGACTGAGATTGGAGCAAACCAATTGAGGGGGATTTTGGCCGTTTATCACAACTATGCATATGTGTGCGTGACATAACAGCGCATTTGGGTCAGAGGCAGCTGATTGGCAGGACACTGGTGGCAGGACACTGGTGACAGCACGCAGAGGACTTATCAAAGGGGTGGGACTTACAGGGATGTGTTTTGATCTTTTATTGTCATTAGAACAGACTTTGCAAGCTTTTAGGCATAAATTATAAATCCATATGGTGTTATTGAATCGATACATGTGCCGTGTTATGTAACGGTCCTGCAGATTCACATAAAACGCTTGCAGTTGAGTCAAAAACACTAAATATTTCATTTTCACACATTTTGCCTCTAAATAAACTAAGAGCATGACTTTACATAATCAGTTGGTCTTGAATTTTCCTAACCCTAAACATTGATAAGAGAAAATGTCTCTGGACTTTACATGCTGTACTTGCTGGACTATTAATGTCAGCTACATTTCAAAATAAAGTGAATTGAAATAGTGAAAGTGAAATAGGCCACACTTGATTATAGGCTGCAGGTTTACATCTTGAAACATACCACTTATCACCAAAATCTAATGGAGAAAATCAAAGCCAATGGACGACACAACATGATTTTTGACAAGATGTTAAAGGCACAGTTGAATTGTTAATATTAAAGTTTTGTAAATAACACAAAGAACTCTGAGGATGTAAACTTTCACCATTCTTCAATGAACGTGTGTCCTATTGATATTTACAGTCTATGGTCCTGTAGCTACTAAACCTGGATGGAGTCAAAAAATTATGTCTATAAAATATTATGTCAAAATATTATGTCTATAAGCTCTGAACGGCTCTCTGCTGTTCACACAATGTATAATTTATATTGTATATTGTGTGCACCGCGTTCACTTATATAGCAATAATTGTAATAATTTTACTTTTTAGTTTTTTATATTATAGAACATGTTATACTTTAGAAATGTTTTATTATGCCTTATTCTTTCTCTACTTTTGACTGTTTGCAAGAGCCAAAGCAATTTCCTTGTCTGTGACTTCCTGTTACTTACTGGAAATAAAAATGATTCAGAGGATTTTGATAATCATAACCCACATCTGAGGTTTGTGTCCAAATTCTACGCCTCACAAGACTCTACCACAATAGAAATACATACATTGGGCGCATCTCTGATGTATACAGGCCACAGGGTTTAAAGAACTTGAAAAAAGTAGTGGCTTATAGAGAAATGCTAGATTGGTGACGGATAATGTCGGGGGTGAAAATGTTGGGGTGTCTTTGCAATGAGCAAAACAAGGGACAGGATTTATAAGACTAAGTCTTCCTTCTGTTCCTGTTTGTTCATGTTGCACAAATGTTAAGTCAATATACATGATGTATGTATGTCTCTGCTGAACATCTCAAACTCTGTTTCACTGCCTTTATGATCCACGGCTATCTTCCAGATTTAATGATGTCTGTGACACTGACAATAAAGCAGGAAAAGTGGGCTCCTCTGATAACTTTAGACCTATAGCTCTAGCTAATATTTTATCCAAAGTTGTGGAACTAATTCTCCTAGAGAGGATTAATGAACTGATTATTTCTACAGATAATCAGTTTGTTTTTAAACCAAAACATTCTACGGATAAGTGTATTTATGTCCTAAAGGAACTTTTAAACAACTATAGGCGCAAAAACTCCACTGTTTTTATGTGTTTCTTAGACGCGTCTAAGGCATTTGACCGAGTGAATCATTGGAAAATCCATCCATCCATCCATTTTCTACCCTTTAATCCATTTCTGGGTCAGGGGGGTGGCAATCAGAGATGCCACCCAAGTCTCATCGCACCAGCCCCTCACTGACCCTCTGGCCCAGATCGACTCATGCGAGTGAGTTGTTCGTGAGCAACAGAGTGAACACACTGAAGTCTGTCCTGAGAAATGCAATGTTTAGTCTTATTCGCCGATTGAACGAGTCTGTGAAACTTGTTGTTGTTGTTTTGGTGAATGTCAAGTTCAGTACAACACGCTGTATTTCTCAGTTCTGGGAACACTGGTACAAGTGTCTTTGTAAATGAGTCCTTAGACTTTGCTGTTTTATCTTTTATGTTTCTGTGTCTTGTGGTGTCCTTGTGTTGTCTCTTGTATGGACCTTGAGTCCGGAATAAAGATTATATATATAATATATATATATATATATATATATATATATATATATGTAAACTGACATGGACAAATAAATAAATACATAATTAAAAATCATAAGCCTACTAGTAAGTCTGTTTTATAATCATTTTTTTTTGGACACCAAAAGGCGCTTCCCATGCCCCGAGACAGACTGACAGAAGCAAGGCATCCAGATTTGTGCCATCGGCCCTTCTGATTACCATCAATTCTCACAAGTGCACACACACACTCACGCACACACACACTCACGCACACACACCAGACTCATGCTAGGCTATATGGGTGTCTTGGGTGTCTTAATAGTGTTACTTGTTACTTAAGTTCAACAATACTCAGTCAAATCAAAATGTTAAGGATGAATTATAATCTGTGTGTACAATGTGGCCTCACCAGTGATGACGAGTGAGTGTGCGACCCCCGCCTCCTGGAGCATTCTCTGGATGTGGCTGTTGTACAGGGACAGTGCTTGGCCACGCCCGCTCTGGGGATTCACCAGGAGCATCACCCGGCGATGGGCCGGCTCCTTCAGGACCAGCTCTGGTGACAAACACAAACACAGCTGATCACACAGTGGCACCAGACTGAGGGTAAATATATTTACTCAAGTCAATGGGAACAATACTGATCTGATGCCACTTCTCTATTAGCAATACTTTTTCTTTTACTTAATACAAAAGGTTTCATTTCACAAGGTAACAGTCAAAAGTCAGTTTAGGTTAGAGCTCATGTTTCTGTAATCCCAGGGCCAATCCACATGAAAGAAAAATGGTCACAAAGTTCCACATCTTCTTTGTCAGCGTATATAAACTATGGGCTTATTATTTTATCACAATGGTGTCTAGAAGTGGTGACGATGTGTACATAGCGGAAAACTTGGCACAGCCGACTCTGTGACAGGTACGTCAGAGCATGCTCTGCACACAGCTGAGCAAACTTAGAAAAGGAAAACAACTCTTGCACACTGTACTTGCATACAGTGTTTTTTATTTACAGATGAGAAAGTTTTTTCCCTTCTTAAAGTTGAAAATGTGTATGTAAAAATAAATGCATAGTGTTGGCCAGGAAGGACTTAAGCACTATCAAATAATGTTTAGGGAAAACAATTGGACATTTTAATTTTCATAATTTCTTTCAGAAAATGCTGTATTGTTGCATTGGCACCTGCCCTCCTGAAATAGAATTCTCCAACATGAATGCAACCTATTCCAGGAAAAACAATTAATGTAACAAAATAAAAGGTTGCACTCAAAATTAAGTTACCTAATTGAGTCAATCTTTACTCTAACCTAATATGCTTTCTTCACCAAACAGACACTGATTAAATGTTGGTACAGCAGCAAAAGAAAATCCGAGAGGATTTCTGAGTGTTACATGGAGTTACAAGTGCTGATCCCAAATCCTTTTAAAATACACCCAGGATTATGATCTCTGTCACAGCACCAACACAGGACAGTTTCTGCATATGAAACTGAGCTATGTATATATTGTTTGCATCATATTTTTTCCCCTGATTAATGTTGAACAAAGAGCTTTCACATATTATCACACATATCTCACATACAACAGTTAATGTGGAAAACGTTTGACGGAATAAACATTAATTTGTGTGCAGACATTACCTACAACAACCCCGCTTTTGTTCTGAGAACCATAAAGAACAGTTGCTGGGAAGGAATGCAGTGAAACAGGTCAGAAACTGCTCCCACACCTGTGCAACGGCACTCACTTTACTCTCCATGTGACAAATGACATCACAAATATTTACTAACTACCGGTACTAGTTAGAGAGGTTACATCGTGAAACTTTCCAGACATTCCCAAGTAGTCTGAATATGTAAATGTATATTCCGAAACTTGAAATGAAATTATTAAACAAAAAAATAAATGATAACATATTCTACCTCCCAAGTGTTTCCAGATTATCAGCAAATGTTTCATAACTTCAGAGATGAAATGAAATGTTGGAGAGCGAGGCTGAGGCAGGGCTGTTCCCATGCCTCTTCATCATGTGTGTCCCGAGGGAAACGTGGGAGGGCAAACAGTAACACATTGGGCACATTTCTGCACTAACGTTTCTCTCATAAAACAGACCCGTGCTCTCGGTCAATCCATTTGCATTACTGATTAACTCGTTTTGACCAAGTCTCTATACAAAGAAGGAAAATAGGAGCTCATAAATCTTCTGTCTGGCTCCTGATTGTCTAAAACTACTGTATACACACGGGGCCATTTCCGGTTCCGCCTCTCTTCCACAAACAACCAGTGACCCATTAAGAAAGTCTAAACATAAGTGTTGGAGCTATTTGTATGATGACATCGAAACAAGCCACAAGAGTGAAGCTCCAACCGTCATGTTTCCCTTTACTTTATAAAGCTTGTAAAATAAAGACAAAAGATTGATAATGTATAATACTCCATGTAGATGATAAACTTGCCGTAAACTATTATATATATTATATGGTTGCATCCCGGGTGGTCGTGCCATTTCAACACGGGGCCTAAAGGCAGATAGTCAGATATGCAAGAATTACGTCCCGGTCGGAATGGGACCTTTCTGAATGGAGTTTGCATGTTCTCCCCGTGTCTGCGTAGGTTTCCTCCGGGTGCTCCGGTTTCCCCTACCACTAAAACAATAGGTCTGGCATGCGCCTCCTGTACTGGCGAGTGAGAGACAAATGCCCAAAAATAACAATGATAATAATAATAATTGTAAAGCGCTTTGTGACTCTGGTCTGAGAAAGGCGTTATATAAATAAAGATTACTTACTTACACTGCAAAAAGACTTATTATAAAATCTGAAGTTTGTTTTGACCCTTTAACACCCTTCTCTCTTCTCCATCGTGAAAAGCCGACACTGGTCTAATAAACTTTCCAACCTTTCCCACCGTTATCCCGGGTCAACATGCCATTTCAACACTGGGCCTAATGAAAGGCAGTTATTCAGATATGCAAGAATTACGTCCTGTTTGTCGAATAGAGAGCCGTGCAGACATGTGTGCTAGTTTCTCTGAATCTCACTCGCTTTGATTAAAAAGGCACCATCTCCAGAGCTGCAGAACGCGCTCACATCAGGGTGTGGTGATCAGCAGTGAGGCATCGACCAAAGGAAACAGATGAGAGGGAAAGACGCGCTGCCGGAATAAACACACTTTCAACAAGATCCTGGAGTAATGTGCTGCGTTCAGCTCTCCGTCTGCGCCCATCCGTCTCACATGAAAATTGGGCATTAATTACATGCCACATTTGCTTTGTTTGGAATGTTTGAAAGATACCTAGGCAGCAGAGGACTATTCTAAAATGCTATAAAAAAAAAAAAACAATGACAGCGTGTTCAAAAGGCTGAGTCTGTGGACACCTCAATCATTGGATTTAACTAATTTGATATTGCTTTGATCCGAAAATAGATAGACTTTTGCCTCAGTAAAACCTCTGGTGCCTGTAGCTGTGTTCAAAGGAAACTCTCTGGAGTTGTTGTTACATACAGTAATATTCACAGTTGCAGAAGGAACAAATGTATCAAATGAATGAATAAAACTGAGAAAGAAACTACTGAATGATTATTACAAAGAGGATTATCATGAATTTAAGTCAATATTTGGTTTGGAAAGTTATTACTGTCAATACAATCCAGGTTTTACCATAATAACACTAGTGTTGGGAGCAACTATTCCTTGGAAATACATACAGTAATATGTTCCTTTCTTATGTAACTCAGTGTAACTCATTACAAAAGTGAAGATTGGAATTATATAACTAGTTACAATCATAGTAACATATTTGCATTGTTTTCTCACTGTTTGCATTCATATGGGGTAACAACACTCATGATAGTTACTTGTAAGGAACATAAAAAGGGTATTAGAAAGAATACTTCAATCAATGTCAATCAAGTGTGATATAATTAATGTACTGGACCAAAAGTAATACATTTCCATTCATTTAATTGTAATTGCGTAATACAAATATAGAGTATGACATGTTTTTTTCCCAGTAGCTAGTAGAATAACTAACACAATACAATTTTGGAGTAACTTACCCAACACTGCTTATTGCTTTGTATCCAAACAACCAACACAATATTATTTACATGTAAACAGTGAATACAGATGTGTATTTTGACTACAAAGCCAAACAGTACAACTCCAATTCAGTATTCAAACTATGTTCTTCATGAGGGTGACTTCTTGGAGCATACGCAGCTGATGGAAAATGAATACACAAAACAAAAGGTAAATACAATATATTTACTTTCAAGATTTTTTTCCCCAAAAGATACACCTGAAGATGTGCCTCTCTAGACAGATAACTACAGGTTGTGCTGAGCCGTGTGTGTGGCTTTGGTCTTTTCTTCTGATCTTCCCCCCGTCAATCATGCCCCAGCTGATACCTCACAGCACATTCAGCCCTTCACTGCAAAAAGAGCCTCTCGCGGCACTCGCACGGGCGATAAAACGCACCATTATAGAGTGTGTAAATCAAAGAGCTCTCTACACAGCGCTTTGCTCCGTCTGACCACGAAGGGTGTGGAGGAGGGAGGAGCTGGTGGTTTGGGCTGAAGACTGGGCCTATATTAAGAAAGGCTGACTCCCCCACACTTTCTGTTGAAATCTTTTTGGTCTCATTCACAACGTCTCTGCGAGCAATCTAGTCATGGAAATGCACGTGTACTGGAGTTTCAGGGTCAGACTTGGTTTGTTTGCCATTTGCAGTAAAAACCACATTGGAATACATTTGCAAAAGTCCCCAGTGTGCACCAGACAAGTACAGAAATAAAACCAAGTTAAAAGTGCAAGAAATAAAACAAGCCAAAAAATGGGCAGGAAACAATTGACACTGTGAAATCCATCAACTACGACAGTTTTAAAACAAGTGCAAGATCATTAAAAGAAGCTATACTCATTTCTGCAAGGTGTGAATGTTTAGCACCGCCCCTCAACTCGCTCACAGGTCTCTCATTTCACCTACGCTCTCTTTCCACGGAGCCATCTAGTTTTATTTGCGATCTATATGCAAGAATTAGCATGAGCGCAACTTCTTGGGAGCTGTACAACAATCACTGATGAAATGGTACAAAAGCAACGCACTGCTAACAAAATACATAACTGAAAGATTACCGCTAGTTTCGCGTCAGAATGTGGTCCGAGCATAAATAGTCCGAGGCGGTCCCGCAGGTCTCTCCCATAGACAAGTGATCTATGTTCACCCAGGCTTGGTTTCTTTGATCATTTTTTCCGCTTTAGTTCTCTCTTCTCTTCCTCACTGTTGTGTCGTTCGGGCTGTTTTGCTGTGTATGCAGTTACAGCCAATTCTGCTAGCATGCTACTGTGTTTAGCAGCGCTGTAGAGGCTAGAGGACGCAGGCTGTTCGCTGCTCGTTCTGTGAGTGGAGGAGAACGGGTGTTACTTTAAGTCTCTACTCAGCACTTTTTACGACCTGAATTCATACACAAGCTGAATCAATGAGCTCAAGTTTTCAATTAAATTACGGATTATAATACAACTTGTATGTAGTTATAAGCATTTTTATGAACTTTAATGAAAAAAAAAAACTGGTATAGCCTCTTTAAAGTGCTTTGTTTAAACTTTTAGATAACGGTCCCACGCTGCAAAAAATACTATGTTTATAAAACCCAAAAAAATGAATGTGTATTCAAATAGCTAACTATAGTTTCTCGCTCTCAAAACAGTTTGGTTGCATCACTGGTTATCACACACATGTATTTGTCACAGGTTTAAAAGCAGCTTTCTCAGACAGAAAAAAAGCTAAAAAGAGGAAACTACCCTCACTGGTGAAAAAAAAAATGTATGCAAAATATTAAATTATCTATAATAAGAGGATTATTCTTTTTTATCATTTAAAAAGGATTACCAGACTCACTCTACTAGTCTACTCTTTAGGTCAGGCATTAATTCTTAGTATACACGTTTTAGTTTTAACGTATTTGAACGTTGTGACCTAAGTTCTAATGTACTTAACGGCTAAAGAAACTACTACTATTCTATTGGGACAAACAACATGGGTTTACATGAATAACAAATGTAAATGCTGATAAACATAAAATGGGGGAAGGGAAAACTGCTGTAAACGTTAGAATTAAAGTTCTGCATCATTGTAGGCTATTTCATTTCATATTTGAATAATACTTAAAACCCAAGCAATACATTAAAAGCACATTATTACAGTGTAAACAGCACCCTCTCTAAAACTCCTTACTCGGTGCAATGGTTTTTCATTCAGACCCAGACGAGGAGAAAACTGCCGAGAGCACAGTGATGTCATTTGTGGTGCAAAACTCAAATGTACCAACAGTGTGAAAGATTATGGACTTCCCACTGGTAAAAGCCACATGCTCTTGAACAACCTATTCTAAAGATGTAAAATAACTGTTTTGAGAGCGATAAACTAGTTACATGGATTTTGAAACAGTATTTTTTAGTTTGAAAGATAGGTGCCCCAGCTTTAATTCTATGAAATACCACATTTTCAAAATAAATGCTTTTATTTAAACAGGCAGTTTGTTCTTTTCTGTTCAAATTCATTACATACAAAACCAAGGACTGAAAAAAAACCCTCTGAAATATCAGTAAAAATTAGGTTGTCAATTGTTTTTGTCTTCAGGTTTTTATAAACATCACAATGCCTCAGACCATCTTCATCTCCCTCAATGTTATTTTCCCCTCGAGAGCACCTGACTTTCCATATATCATTTTGACCCCAGAAGCACCCGCCTTTCTCGTAAACCATGTGTCTGGTTAACGGACAATATTGAATATATTGATGCAGCAGAGTTAATTCTGTTTATACAATGTAACAGGAAGGACAATAGTTTTTGACAAGATGTGGTTTGCTCAATGAGCCTCTCACTTAGATCACATTCACAAGTCATTCCCGAAATAAACGTCATCTGAAGTAGATATCACTTCCAACACTTTACAATGAATTGTATTGTCACATATGAGGCTTTTGGTCTTATGCAGTATTCTGTTTCAAATGTAGTCAAATATAAAGGTTTACTAAAGCGATCACAGAGATTTAAAAGATAGTTTTGGTTCTTTGTTAGAAACATATGAAATGGAAATCTCTAAAGAAAATCGCAACTGCTTGTATTTGTAGAAGAGCAGTTTGTTTTGTGTTGCTGCTGGAGATTCTACAGTTTCATGTCCACAAACACTATTGTTTAAAGTGTAGGTGTGGTTTGGGAGAAGGGTCAACATGTGGATAGTATATTATGTTTTGATTCTGTGAGCTGCAGATACAACTGGTTGAGTCATAGTCTCAAGTTAATGAAGCTATTCGACTTGAGTTACTCGGCTCTTCTCGCCTGTTTAATAAGTCAGTGTCCAAGAGGCGTCCAGGGGATCTTATCTGGTTAAGAAATATATTGTGCAATCCGGCTAATAATGCTTTAAATATAGCTTTAGAGGCGTGGATGGTTTTTAATAGAAAGCACCCAAGGTAGCTCTAATATTTTCTCAGCGGGTGACCTTTGTTTACCATTTCTGAGATAAAACTCTCCAGCAGCAGCACAATATTGCTTTAATCATGTCTAAAGGTTAAGAAAAGTGCAGCTACACCAGTACAAGCCCCACTGTCCCGCTCTAACCTTTGTTTCTGCTTTTATATAGATGATTTTTTTCTCCTTTGCATAAACAGTATACTATTCAAGACAAGACAATTAGAGAAAGGAACATTACGTGCGGTCTCACATTAGTGCGTTGATCAGCATTTGAATTGAACAACACAAATAATTGTAATAAATTCTCGAGCTCACATTGCCAATTTCTAAATTGCTTGAAAAACTGTGCAAATTGCCTATAGGAAAGGCAAGGCAAGTTTATTTGTATAGCACAATTCAAGAAGGCAACTCAAAATGCTGAACAAAACAAGACAAAAACAGTCACACTAGGCATTAAAATCATAAATAATCAAAAGAATGATGAAAATATAAAATCCCTAAGTTGTAACTGTTGTTAACCTGGATTTAAACATTGTCAGAGAAGAAGCCTGTCTCACATATTCAGGAAGATATTCAGCCTATACTTTGTCTTGTTGCGATAAACTTATAAAAGCATGTACATTTCCTATTTGATGTTGTCTATAAAAAGTTGTCAGACAGCAACACTTATTATAACCCTCCACTGACTTTTCTCTCCATACTTTGTCCTATAAATAAACACACTTTTCCCCCCGGGGTGGATCACTGCTCTTACCGTCTCTGGGCGCGTGTAGCCGGGCGGACCTCTCCCTCACCTCCCGGGCCCACTTCTCTGCCTCCTCCAGGTTGTAGCTCGGGTCTTGGAGCGCGGCGAGGCGGAAACTCTGCTCCACCCGCTGCCTGCAGGTCCCGGGGCTCATCCAGCGCCTCCTGAGCGGGTAGAAGTACGCGGTGAAGTACGCAGCGTGGTCCGACTCATCCTCTCCACTGTGCGCCCGGGAGCCCACACAGTCCCGCAGGCTCAGACGCGTCTTGTTCCGCTGGACCGTGGAGGAGGATGTGAGTCTCTGGAAGATCAGCTCCTCATCTGTCAAACTCACGGCGTAGCGCACTCTCCTGTTCCCGGTGGATGTGAACTCTCCGTACAGAGTGACCGCGCTGTCAGGGGGCTCCATCCCGACCGCATCTCACGCCCCTCCACACCGCGGCTCCTGGCTGTGTGTGTGTGAAGACCAAGCAGAGGAGCGGGGACTGGACTTCGGTTGAGAAGTGTGGATGTGTGTGTGTGTGTGTGTGTGTGTGGGAGCCAAGCGTGAGTCCGGGGCCACCTTCCACAATAAAACCACGCCCCCAGCGCATCCATCCGATGTGGTGAAAGAGGTGGACACTTCGTAGTAAAGATCGTATACAAAGATACTCTGGGATCATTCACGTTCTTAAAAGTAGGTCTAAGAGCTTCCCAATGTTTTAGACCTTCTTAAGTAAAAAATAAAATACATTTAGCAGTATCATATTCTTGTATAAATGTTTCATAAAGGCAGAGAATATGATGAAGGTTCGAATATGCATGCAGCCGCCGAGATGATCAAAGGCTATTCTCATTTCACGGGGATGTATAGGTCATATATATCTTATTGTTGAAAAATTTAGAAACTCAATGCAGAATTTTTGGAATATGGATTAAAGCTGTCTAATAACATATTTTGCGGACCCCCCATTGGTAAAACCTATCCTTCGATTGTGAGTTTGTTTTCTGGTTTTTATTTCCAAATATTGTGCGCGTTTCCGCATGCTTTACAGAATTGAACTTATTGTCACTGGAATTCTCTCTTTTTAGGTTGTCTACCGCCATCTAGTGTTACACTTTGTAAGCGCTGGTTTTGAAATCAGAGAATTTGGAAATGTGTCGATGGATCACAGGGCTATATACAAATACTGCACAGTCCACAGTCAGCTTCACCCCAATGATCTATCTATGTATATTGAAAGCATATTTTAGGTTTTAACTTAGCCCCAGACTTTCTTATGCATATTACATTAATTCAAAATGCGTAATCAGAAGTCTCAAGCATTATAGATATAGATATATTTATTTTATACATTGGTTGCTTTTGATCTTTTTGATGACATTTGTCAGTAAGAGTAGTACTTTCTACAATTACCCAACAGGTGGCAGTGTTGGTATAAGTTTTCCATGCCCATTATTACTACGTCACAATCCCATGTGTTCTGTCTTATTTCTGGTTCAGTAATTGAACTAATGACCAGCTGACAACAACATGCCACAAAAGGTCTCATTACAACACAATTGGACAGTCAAGTGGCCACCACTCACACATTTATTTACTTTTTTATTATCAAAAGACGATCATGAACTACAGGAGTAATTTTGGCAACTACAAAAACAAAGAGAATGGCAAAAAAATACATTTGAAAAAGATGTTACTATAAATGGTCCTTGTGCCTGGAGTTATCAGCCGTGCCTTCAGAGATTAGACGCATCTGCTTTTTAGGGTCAAATAGCTCTGAGGAGTAACCGTGGAAACCTGTGAAAAGAGCTTTGTAGAAAGTGGATCTGTGTAAAGTGAGTTCAAGCATTCAAAGGAAAGTAAAAGAAACAGAGTCAGGTCGAATCAAACTGAGGCTGTTTGTACAAGTTTGAGTTTGTTCTTGTGAATATGTAAAATACAGAGTAATGGTGAATCTATTGAAGGTAAACTAAAACTGTATGTATATGTGAAGTGTTGAAAATTGCATTCTCTATTTGTTTATGTTGAATATTTTGAACGATTAGAATGGTTAACAGAATCGCCAAATTATTCCCTGTTTTATTTCTCTCCCAGTACAGTTTTTAGGAGCAGACTTTCAACTCAAATAATGTCAGTCTTGGTGGATCTTCGGGCAGCTTCATGCATGGGTTTAGAAAAGAGGTAATTTTCTAACTACTATAACGTATTGTACTTTTAATGAAAAAGTACAATGAAAACAAGACGCACCACACCATGTTCCTTTTGCTTTTATTTTGTTTGAAATAAAACACAATACAGATACATTAATATTTTCTGGAGGGTCTAAGGACGGTGGTAATGATCCAGGACATTTTTGGACATTGGTCATCTGCCATGTATGTGTTTTTTATTGTTGTATTTCCTGTGGTTGAATTGTTTGATTTTCTGATCTGTGTTGGAGATGTCATAGAAATCTTTTAGTAAAGCAATCAGAATTAACACCAAATAGTTATAAGTGTAAGTTATTAACTAATTCTCAACTCTGGATTCAAATACAGGCCATAGGGCTCTGTTGGCATTAAGTCAGCTGATAGATGGAGACGTGCTGCATCATGTCTTTGACCTCATCTGGGTCATAGAACAATATGTTCAGGTCAGAAGCAGATTATTACAAGTATCAGTGTTATATCAGCGAGAGAAGCCTTGAGCAACACATATCAATGTTGACTTCATCTATGTAATATCTAGAGTAGATTTGTGTTTGTTTACTCTGGTCTATTTAATGTCCAGTCATTTCCTCATTCGGGGCAGACGATCTCAGACGGCTGCCCGGTGGTATCAGTATCGGTTCTGTTATTCATTGTATATATGTGCACATTTACTAATGAATAAACTCACACTTTGATTGTTTTACAGCTCTTGGTTGTTTACATTATTTTTGCTCTCGGTATGTGAAGAATTTCCACAACAGCGAATTGACAACTTTGTAAAGTCCTCCGAGATAACCACTGTTAGGGCTATACAAGAATACATTGAATTGAATGTGAGTGTCTTGTCAAGTGGAACATTCTTGACATGACACCCATATTTTGATGTGTGATGAGCCCTGCACCCTAAAACCAATATTGCATCTTCAGTATCGTGACAGGTTTAATTATTGGACCAAACTCTGGTCAAATCTGTTTAAAATATGAATTATAGTTTTACTTCAATAAAGTCACAGTTTGTCAAATACAAAGTGTAAACCCTATAGACATTTACAGGAAGAAGAACAGATAACTGAACAGTCAGAACTCATCCCGAAGTTGAATACATCTCAACCAATAATTTATCTGTACTTCAAGTAATAATCACTATCAAACATGAAGCATAAGTACGTACATTGAGACTGGAAGACCAAAGAGACGTCATGCTGCCACTCTGGACTCCTCCCTCTACACACCTGCACCTGAGCTCTACAGCAATCAGCCTCAGCCGCTCAGTAACTCACCTGTGCTCACTTCATGGCAGCATTTAGAGCCTCTCAGTTCTATGCAGCTCAAGCTGCTGTTTGAGCAGGAACCCACCTCCTCCCCATCACCGGCTCTTCAGTGGAGCCGGTCTTCATGTCTTCGGCTCAGCTTTCTTCACAACCAGGGTCTAGGCCCCGGGGGGTTCGCAAGCTCATAATTTCATGCAGTATTTCTGGCGGGGTCTAATTGCCAATTTAAATGAACATTACATGTTCATAAGCAAAAAATGTTTTAGTACTCTGCTGATGTCTATTCATGCATCTTGACAATATAAATTCTAATGCAATCTTTGTCTTGAGTCTCTTCAGATTGAAATACTTTTTTGTGAAGGCTACCATAACCTAGCCTGGCTTTGCCATACCCTTGTAGTACCGCCATGCTCCACCAGAGGCGTTTGGTGTGAAGTGCAGCGAACTACATGGGTCTGGCGAGAGTCAGGCTAACCATAACCAGCCACTCAAGAAAACAGCTGCATTGTGTTGTTACAATCATTGAATCCATAACGCAATGAATTAAAATACTTTATTTCTACTTATCTAGAAATATGGTCACAATGGGATAAAAGTTGTAAAATCTTCAGCAAATTAGAAAAAAAATAATTAAGTCGGACCCATAAACTGTATATAAATGGACAGTGCTAACCCGCTATGAAGCCTGAAAGGGAAGTGTTCATGGACAAGTTCTGGGTAATACTAACTTAAAATAAACTCCACTAGCTCAGTAACCATTTTGGGCTTTAAAAATCCATAGTTTAGCGTTCCCTGTGATCCTGGTGTTTATATTTCAACAATGCTTATGTAAATCCAGATATCAGCCATGAGGAATGAGAAATCATATATCGTCATTCACGGGGGACTCCAGTGTACCATAGCAACTGTCATAGCAACACAACTGCCACAGTTACGGCGCAAATCTAATGCCGTCAGAGCAAATGCCCATAAAAGGAAACTGGCTTCAGCTAGCTTATGTTCAAATCGGCTTCTTCTGTATTAAACACTATGGTTGTTGACCTGTTAACCTGTCATACACACTTAGACATAAGGTATTTAGTGTTGCTTAAAAACAAAGCACATGTAAAAACTTAATGTGGCATGTGTGAAAAAAGTTCAGTCTTTCCCTTACATAAATAATTCAGATCATCTCTGAATCTTTGTCTAATTCGTGTAATGTATGCGTAATCTGCATATCAATGCCTCAGAGAGCAAAAATGTCATTAACTTCATCAGGGCGCCGTATCCCTCATGCATTTATATTGGTTGTGAGGTAATAACAAAAAAGTTAGCGTGGTCAATTCAAAGTCATTCACACTCATCTTGTTGTTGCAGAGCTGTCTGACACAATGCTGCCAGCTGATGAGGAGGGGCCTCTTTGTGCAGATGGGAATTACTGGTCCCAATAAGCACCTGGAGCCCGCGGGAAATGAGATTATCTTATTCACATTCAAGTCATGTGCAAAATCACCCACTTCACAAGCAGCATTCAGGTAGAATCACCTCATACTTTAACTGTTTACAAGGCACTGGCATTCAAGCTCTCTTTTCAACATATTATGTAATTCATTGCACACTGCTATGCACAAGCCGTGTTTTTGATTTTTTCTTTTTCTTTTTGAGCACAGAATCATTACACCATACGATGGGATCCGCAACAAAGAGGCCCTTTCAGACCCGACTGCAGGCTCAATACTGATTTCCTAAAAGCTATTGATTGAAAATGGCACAGCTGAGGAGTGGGGGCTTGAATAGAGACAGTGGCTCGTACAGATGCTCTCTACTGCCTCGGAGGAAAGAGGGCCTCCACATTTCTCCTATACGTGCGGCATATACTGTTCAAGAAGGTTTCATTTCGTGACAAATACGGCGAAATCCTCCACATACAGTACATGCCCCAGTTAGTGTGAATTGCCATATTGCAAGCCGTCTGCTACTGTATCTG